ATAAAGGCAGGTATTTTAATGTGGGGACTTGGTTAGGATTGGGTAAGGATCCTGATATAATTGTTTAAGATTGGTGGGTGCTGTAAAGCAAGGATTTTGAGAAGGGCTCAAAGATCGTGAATCTTGGATCAAAGTCCTGGATCAAAGATTAGCAGGTGCTTTCTATTGAAGAACTGATGATATATTCCTGAAATGAACAATACATTTATTTGTAATTTCTATTTTCCTGGGCAAGAGTTTCCAGGAGAAGTAAGATTATGCTGAGGAAGGCAGGGGAATGATCAACTCATGTTAATGTAGACATTAGGCTGCACAGAAGTAGACAGTTTTGGTTCTCAATTATAAGGAAGAAATGACCCAGGGTCAAATTTTCAGATGTCCCTAAGGCTATAGGAAAAGCTACAGAATTTTCTGGTAATCTTTATTTCCTTGGCACTTTTTCCTTTCCCTTGCAACATGAATATTTCAGTGAATACAAATAGGTTTTAGTCTATTTCTATCCAAATGCTGGGATTTTTACTTAGTTTACAAAATTCTTGTGTCTTGGTGCATCAGTTGTCTATTGTTGCTGTAAGAAATTATCACAAATTTAGTGGCTTAAACAATATATTTTTAAAAAATCTTACAGCTCTTTAGGTTAGAAGTTTGGTAGGGATCTCACTGGGCAAAGACCACGGTGTTGGGCTGCATTCCTTCTGGATGCTCTGGGGGAACTTCCTTGCCTTTTCCAGCTTTGAGAGGCCACCTGCACTCGTTAGCTGATGGCATCTTCCTCCGTCTTCAAAGCTAGCAATGGCTGGCCGAGTCCTGCTGCTGCTGCCATCTCTTTGGCTCTCTGCAGTTGGGAGAGGTTCTCTGCTTTTAATCACTTAGGATTAGATTGGCCCCAATAAGATAATGCGGGATAATCTCCCCATCTCAAGTAGACCTTAATCTTCAGAATGTCTGCAAAGTCCCTTTGTCATGTGAGGTAACATATCACAGGTTCTGAAGGTGAGAGCACTGACATCTTCGAGGGTCCTTCTTCTGTCTACCACATCTGTCACTATGTCCTTTCCACATGTAAATACTCCCTCTATCTTTTGAGGGCACTACTCCCCTTTTCATCGTATAGTTGTGAGTATTTTACAAATATTTTCATAAGGTGTATGTGTTTGTTTCATTTAACTGGCAGGCTTGTTATTTGCCAAGAAACAAGATGGGCAGTTTCTCTTTGGCCCTGTCAATACCTACTTGATTGTAGCGACAATTTTGGATCTTCAGCTGGGAGCATGATTTCTACGCACTGATGTTCTAGTGCTGCAGAGGGCAGCTTCTGCCTTTTTGGTTACTGAAGTCTCTGTGCTCCTGCTGTCAGGGCGTGCAGTATCGGTGGGGGAAAATCTCTGAGCCTTTTTGTGACTAGTTCCACTATTTTGGTTAGTGAACATTTCTTCAGAGATCTTAAAGATTCTTAGCCAGGTGTCCTAGTTTCAACAACTACTTCATTTTTGTATTATTCTGTGGTTTTTTTTTTTTTT